TATCATATAGCTTCGATTAGAAATAAAGGACTAATAACTCATAAAACTGAACCATATAAGTATGTGAATTTTGATGGATACGTACATATAACAGATTTAGAAGTTAAGGTACCAATAAAAATAGGAGGAATAGATATTTTAGTACCATATTACATAGATAAAAGTATTGATATAAATCCCCATATACTTTTAGGAATGAGTTTTCTAAATGGATTGGAAAATTATAGTATAAAAAGAGAAGGATTATATATTGTTCATAATAGACAAACTATATTATGTAAAAACAATTAGATGAATAATCAGATAAGTTTTCCATTAGCTGTGTATATACAAATTTCTACTGTAGGAACAAATATAACAACTTATGCTTTAATAGATACATGAAATGATATAACAATATTTAAAAAGTTTTTTAAATAAAATCATGGAATAATAATAGTAATATAAAAATAACTGGTGTTACAGGAGAAAGTACTCAAATAATTAATAGTGCTAATAAAGTTAATATAATTCTTGGAAGTAAACAAGTAACAATAAATAAAATTTATAAATATGATAAATTAGAATGTGATATATTATTAGAAAATGATTTCATACAACAATTTCAATATTATAAACAAAATAATTATGTGATAATGTTACAAACACCTTGTGGACACTTATTAAAAATTCCTAGAAAATTTAAACCTTATAGAGTTCAGTCAGCCCAGCGTTGTGATAAATGAGAAAGAAAACCAATTCTTAATAATGAAATAAAAAATAAAAGAATATTTTATAAAAAGGTTCTTAAAACAGGATTATAAATGAATATAGAAAAAATCATTGAACAACTAGAAAATGTTTATGGAGAAAATTCATTATTATTTTGGAAACCACATCACCCAAAAGTCAAAATAGAATTAACAGAAAATGTTATAATAAGAGTAAGACCAATGATGTAAACAATAGAAGATACACAAGAATTTAAAAATCAGATAAAGAACTGTTAGAATAAAAACTTATTAGACCTAGTAATGAATCTCATAGTAGTCCAGCCTTTATGTTTATGAAACACTCTGAACAAGTTAGAGGAAAAGCTAGAATTGTTATAAATTATAAAAAAATTAAACAAATATACTAAATTTGATGGTTACTTTCTACCAAATAAAGAAGTACTAATAAATCTTGTAAGAGGAAAACAGTATTATTTTAAATTTGATTGTAAATCAGGATTTTAGCAAGTAAAAATGGAAGAAGATAGTATACAATTATGCATTTAGTACACCTCAAGAAAAATATGAATGTTTAGTTATGTCATTTGATTTGAAAAATGAATTACAAATATATCAGAGAAAGATGGATAATATATTTAAAAAGTTTAATGAATTTCTAATAATTTATATTGATGATATATTAATTTGTTCTAATAGTAAAGAAGAGCATAGAATCATTTAATCCAATTTATTAATAAATGTAAAAAAGAAGGAATTGTACTATTTAAAAAGATATCTAAAATAGAAAAATAAGAGATGGACTTTCTTGGATTATCAATAGATAAAAGAGGGATAAAATTACAAACCCATATATCCAAAAAGATAGAAAGTTTTCCAGATAGATTAGAATTCAAATAACAAATACAAAAATTCTTAGGATGTTTAAACTATGCAGAAGAATTTATTGAAAATCTTTTTAAGAAAAAACATAAAATTCAAGTTTTACTTAGAAAAATAAATACTAAGGGATGGAATGAAAAACATACAAAAATAGTTAAATCATTAAAAGAAGAATGTAAAAATTTATCAAAATTAAGGTTACCAGATAAAAAAGACAATTTGATTGTTAATGCCTCAGATAAATATTGGGCAGCAATATTAAAAACAGATCTAAATGAAATTTGTAGATATTCAAGTGAAAACTTTAACCAAGCAGAAATAAATTATACTACTTGTGAAAAAGAATTACTAGCGATTATTAGAGGAATAAAAAAGTTCTTATTGTTTTTATTATCCAAAAAATTTATAGTTGAAACTGATAATTCTCAAGTTGCAGGATTAGTCAGGAATAAATTACCCTCAGAACCACAATACAGAAGGCTTCATAGATGGCAAGCTTATTTAGCATTTTATAATTTTGATATAGTCCATATTAAAGGAGTTAATAATTTTCTTGCAGATTTTCTCAGCAGAAACATAGAATTTGCTGATGGATAAAATCAAGGCCATGGAATTATACCAATCTATTTTATATATACAAGAAAGGACAAATTTTCTTAAAGAAGAATCTGAAGATATAAGTTCTGGAGCAATCCAGATCTCAAAGATGTTCAACTCAAATATGAAAATATTGTTGAATATCACTACTGAGTATCATAAATATATCATAGAACTCAAAAATCAAGTTGATGTTATTACAGCACAACTAAAAAATATACTATTTGAAACGGATATACCAAAGAGCTCAAAAATGAGTTTTCCAAATCAATACCAAACAGGGACAGTTGGAAGCAGCAGTGGACCCAGACGTGACAACATACTAACTGATAATAAAGGAGATTTCATTTTCGTATCATCAACCAAAAAAGTTATGATACATGGAGATAAAAGAGATACCAAAATAATTAGCATCATAGACCAAGAAGATAAAATTCCTTTAGATCCAAAAGAAAAAAAATATGCCGAAATAGTCAAAATCGCTTATGAAATAAAAATAAGTGATTCATATTTTATTTCTCTAGGATATAATGTTTACCCCAGAATAATAACCATGGAAGGAGGTGACCCTTCATTTATAAAAATCATGAGAGACTATGGATTCATGGATTTGATTTATCCAGAAAAAGATTTTATTGAAATTTCAAAGTTTGATGACATATTCATTAAGGAAGTATCAAGATTTGCCAAGGGAAGGAAAATATTTTTAAAATTCTATTTAATTAGTTCAGAATATGATGGGGTGGTTTACTATCCAGTTGAACACATAATCTCAATTGGATATGTTGCAGTCAATTTCCAAATTGATGTTACAAAGAATAATAGAAAAGTCCCAACAGTGACAAAATCATGGATCAAACATAAAAGATCGCTTGGAATTAAAGTCATCTACAATATTACCAAAAATTTGTTTGATAAAAAATTCTCGTGCTTGTGCCAATATGAAAATTGGATGTTGGTATCCAATGGAGGATATGTAAAATCAGAAATTTTAAAAGACTATATTACAAGATTTGATATATATTAATTTCCAGAATGTCCTACCACTATAAAAGAATCCTGTCAGCTAAGGGAATGTTCCAGCTGCATGTAAAGCAATAAAAGAAGAAGACAAAGCACCTTTTGACAAAGGTGTATGAAGGACAATAATACTACATGTGAAGACATTGAAGATAAAGAGCAATAATAGAAAAAGATGCTCTTTGGATAGAAAAGTTGAACCAGCATGTGAAGATGTAGGTCCAAGGAAAAAAATAGAAAGGCAAATGTGTCTTGCTGATGTATTCAATGATGTAATAGAGTCTCAAACACTTGTATAAATAGAGACATTACCATAGAAGAATATCATCTCATCCTATCTTGAATTCTCGAGTTGTAAACAATAGCATATTCTCAGTTTAAAAAATCAGTTTTTCTAGAAATCCCTTTGTACCAAATTGAAGTCTTATATCAATCTTAATAGAAATAAAATTTCAATATTTTGATATCAATATGAATTTCTAAATCATTTTCCCATAGATTCTTGAAAGATCTAATAGAAAGTTTCTTTTTTATTTTAGCAAAAAGAGAGTTTTTCTTTAACAGAAATTTAGAATTTTATTGTTTAGAAGCTGATACAGTGAGAGCAAGTAGCTGAAATAGTAACAATTCCGTGAAGCCAGGAGGCCGTTGAAGGAAGCAGTTTACAAATTCAGAGCTCGACGGTCACTCGGTTCTAAGAATACAAGTATAGATAAAACTATTACACTTTTGCTAAAATTAGAATGAATCTTTTTAAGATCTTAAAAGAATCATAGGGACAATTCCATGATGATTATTTTGATAAATGCCAGGATATACAGTTGAAAGATTAGATAATTTATTAGAAAGAACGTTAGAAGAAATAAAGAATATTATATCTCAATTAAAAAATACAAATTTACCATTTAAAGAATATGGTATTTTATTAAGAAAATATGATATATATGTTATGGATTATTCTTATTTATTAGATCATAGAATGATTTTATACTCAAATATCCAAAATAAAATAAACAGAAGATAAAATGTTCAAAAGATTAGGATATAAATTGCAATATAGAAAGAATCATTTCATTAAGGGTAATATAGACATTTCTATAAAAATGAATAGTGACAGGCCAAATAGAAAAATTTCCCAATTTGAAAAGCTCCATTTTTTGTGAAATTTTCCATCCAAATGGTATGTTTGATGGGCAAAAGTTTTCATGGAATTGGTTTTCCACCCAACCCCCTACGTGACCACATTTTCCTAGTTTTTAAGGAATTGATTTTCCTTTGGTTTTGATAAGAATTGTGTTTTCCATTTTTTTAAACACATTCTATTCACAATTGTAACAAATTCTATCCCTTTAATTGATTGTTGTTATTATTATTATTATTATTATTATTATTTGTTGTATGACCGTGGGTGTACGAATTAGCTTACGCTCACCTCGACTAATTCCACGAGGCTCTAAAGTTTACAATCGAATATTCACATCAATGGCCCTGAGGGAACTCGAATTGATGACATTAAGGAACAAACTCAAGACCTAACCACTGAGCAATCTCTCAGAGTTCCTTTAATTGATAATTTTCATGGATTATAAATCAAACGAATACCAAAAGATCCAAATTTTCAACATTTTTCAAGTGAAAATTTGTACTAATCAAACACATTTAATTGACAATTTCCAATAAAACAAATTTTAAACAATTCAATTCCCTACAATTCGTTTTTTCACCGAAATTTCATTCTTGCAATCAAACGAATCCTTAGGGTCCTTCGTCTCGTCTGATACTGCTTAAACNACAGCTTACCAGCAAAGTCACACACACCCAACCCCCACCTCCACACAGCAATTGAATTATTACATTATTGCTACTAATGCATAAATTTACACGCAACACAATTAAAATACAAAGCAAAATTAAAAGGGGAAGAAAAAGAAAAGGAGACATACCATATTCTGCCATTTGTGGTATATTCCAGTTATATCCTTCTCTTTCCACACGTTGAGATCAAAAATGTTCATTCCATATGCCCACCCACAAGCATTGGGATCGAAGTTTGAAGAAATATGTGGATTTGAAAAATTAAGGTACTTGTCAAAACGATGAAAGCTCTCACCACAGGTTTCAACTGCCCCGTTCACTTTTCCATGAAGATCTACCAACCACAAGCCTGTTAAGTCTTTCTGAACAACGATGTCATCATCAAGAAAAAGGATTTTATCCAACTTGGGATAAACCTGTGGGAGATAAAACCTGAGGTGATTGAGCATTGATAGATACTTTGGGTTCCTGTACTTCAGGTTCGAAGAACCGGCGGAAAATGTGATAGGATGAGCTGACTTGAAGTAGTACTCCTTCATGGCAGCAGACTCCAACTGACGTAAAACAGGACAATAAGACGAGTTAAGCCACTTGAATTCATCAACATTTTCAACATGGATGGTAGCTTTTCCAGGAGGGTTCAGCAGGAACCACATATTCATTGCCCCTAAGTTCAACTTATCTGTAACTAGATGAAACACGTGTTTCTCGGGTTCCTGCAATTTAGAAAAAAAAGCATGTTCTGTAATCTAAGTTTTGTTCAATGAAATCACAGAATAATAGTTGCATCAATGCATCAGGATTGAAGAATCCAAGTGTAAAGCATATTGTCAAGCCTCTTACCAGAAAAAGGACCTATAACATCTGATAACTTAGATAGGAAATTAATTGCAACAATAAAAATTTCACAAGATGAATAGATTTAATTTTGCTTTACAGAAGGCACTGCTAGTATTTTCAGTTCAAAGCCCAAAATTTTTGAGAAATCGAAGTCAAAAATTGAATTCTTCACCTTGGCATTTGCAATGGTTGAGCTGACCACAACTGAAGCAGCAAGAACATTGTCAGAAAAGAGTGCATAATGGTAAAGATGTGGATTTTCCAGATTCTCACTGCGAGGGAACTTCCTCTTTTCTGGTGGAAGGAGGTAATACTCTATTGTCAAGCGCATGGATAAACAGTGAATTCCATTTGGAATTGTCTTGGCAGCTAGCTGACTAAGGAATGTGCTCTGCTTTTTTAGACTCCGGACTTGCTCATCAGCAGATTGCAGCATGGCTCTTAGCTGTCCAGTGACAAGCTTGCAGTCATATAATTGTTCTCTAGCTTTAGACAGTACTTGTCCCATAGATTTTATTTTTTCAGGTGCACTGTCATACGAATGTACACGGGCAAAAAATTCAATTTATAAAACAAGTTGGGCTTGGTTACACACAGCACACAAGATACTCATGAATTTACTACCTGTGATTTAATTCAGAATCAGCAGCTGCCTCTCCTAAGGCACGCTGACTTTCTTTGAGCTGGTTCTGAAGCACGTGGGCCAAGTCAAGCTTATTTTTCATTCTTGCAATGCTTATATACACTCTTGCCATGATCACTTGATCTCGCATTAAGCGTACAGTTGAATCAGAATTTTCATTTTCATTCTCCTTCCTCCATGTACTATACTTTCCCAAGACTGCAGAGTCAACCGACTTGGATCGTTCAATGACAGCAGTTTCAAGTTTTACGATTACATCATCATCTTGCTTTACCAAATTAGCAGCACGCTTTTCACGTCGTTTTTCTCTCAATTGCTGCAAAGTGCTTAAACGGATAAAATTGCTACTCAAAGATCAGGAGGAAAGGAGTAACGAGGCCAATTTGGAGTTTATGCAAGCTCTAAAAGATGTCAATTTTACTTATTTTCAGTTACAATCAGAAGCTGGCTCCTGGTCATAAAAAATGCAACATGAAAACAACATAAGTGGTAGCATTAAATTAGATTGAATCAGGGTACTTACCCTTCTCGCCAGTTTAGCAGGCGACTCAAAAAAATTTGAATGATCTTCTGCATGGATCGAATTCATCATCCAACCAGTTAAGATACATCCGTTAGCGAATTATTTATGGTATTAACAGAGTTTCCAGAAAAATATTACCATGAAAAGTATCTTCCTGCTCGCCTCCAGAGGTTTCCCGTTTAGTATATGCAGCTACTTCTTTTGACTTGAAAGCACAAATGCAAAAGCTAATGAATCATTGCCTTCCTTTTAAAAAATAGTTTTTCATCACATATAGAGTGCAATAGCGTGAAGTTTAAGCTACAATCCCACAGGAATCCTAACCTGAGCAGAAGTGGTATTTTTTCCAGCTGAAATTTCTCGACCAACAAAGTTCCATGATGAAGATAGATTATTCATTCTGAAAGAATCAAGACTCAAGGGCCCTAAATCGTCTGTGTTTGCCTTGATGACATCCAGTACCTAAAACATGCTCACAATAGTAAAGTAAACAAGCACACAAAAAGGATAGAATAGATTTTTTGTCAACAAGAATGTCCATTGAAAACTTGCCTCTCTTGAGAACAAAGATTTGAGATGCTGCAATGCTAGTCGCTCTCTCCATCTTAGATCCTGTACCATGTGATATTTTCTTATTGAGTAAGAATAGCATTAAAACTACAATTCAAATGAAGTGCATTCCAAAGAAAATACCTGTTTACTTGAACTGGTAGAAAAATTAATTTGATCTGCAAAAAAATGGTTAAATTAGTTTTCTATAGAGAGACATTTAAAGTGTATTGGATACTGAGCATAGAGCAGGCTCTCTCTCTCTCTCTCTCTCTCTCTCTCTCTCACTCACACACACACACACACACAGATCCATGTACTAATAAACAATTAAATTAAGGTTGAGTGATAAGCAGACATTAGTATCACGCCCAATTTGCAATCTTATCCAATGCAACTATCTACTCTTTTCACAAAAGAGATCATCTAATGAGAACCTGTATGCCCTTGAGCCAATCCCTGACATCAGTTTTTTCCTCTCAACACTAAAATTATGTTCATAAACTAAGAAGCATGGATACGGATACGATATGATATGGATACACCGATACAACTTTTTTGAAATTTTTTTATTAAATTCAACATAATTTCATTAATATAAAAAAATATTAATATGGAAGCATGATAACAAAAATAAAATAAAATACTAAAGCACTTTATTAGCAAGGTTTTACATATATTAAATCATTATCTATTTTCGATACTAGTCACTATCTATTTTCAATAACAAAAATATATTTATCAACTATAACACGGTTTCACGTGTATTGAAAGATTAATAATATTGTACTTTCCAATATGAAGTCCAGTAATTAATTTTAAAACTCTAATTATGTATTTTCAATAAATATTATTGATATTAAATAAGTTAATAAATTATTTACAAAATATTTATTAATTTATGGGATACGTATTGAAAATCATACAAAAATATAAATAATTAAATAACACGTACCAGATAATATTGAAAATTTAAAAATTTAAAATATATAAAATAATTAAGAAATAAGTATCCGGTACGTATCGGAGCTTGGATACGTATTGCATACGAAGACATAACGAGTTTACAAGTATCGGTGCTTCTTAGTTCATAAATAATCACAACAACAAAGTGCACAATTGCTTTGATGACAAAGTACTATAGTAATTTCATATACACATGTCACCTCTAATATCAAAAAAGAACACCAACGTTACATCGGACAACCTCTAAAATTCAGATTGTCTTCACTCCTCCACTCTATATAATAAACAAGTCATTGAACAAAAGGGAACGAGCATTAGATTGTCAGTTCCTTCAACAATTTGGCATCAACATGATTACATAAATGTTCATGAAAAGACGGTTGTGTACCACATAATAACAAACATTTAGGACCTTGGAACCTTTCTTAGTTTTGATCACGAAAGTTTCCAACCAATACAAAGCATTATCAGCTAACTCTGTACTTCCAAGCTTTATCAAAAATCAACTATACCGAGTTCTTTAGAATTCAGCATTCATCTTGCCCCAGTTCCCTCTTCGGTTGAATTTCATTTACAATATGAAATAAGAAAATTAGATTATATAACTATGCAACCACTTTATTTCTTCAACAAAATGAAGGTGATTAATCAATACTATCTACAAAACCTAGATATTTTCCATGTTTTTAAATCATTTTTCACAATTGACTCACTGACAGGTCAAATCATCCCAAATACTAAAAATGCCTAAAATCTAAAAAGTAAAACCTTAAATCCATCATATTAATACTCTTCCTGAGATCTATCATAATGTGGTAACCAGTCAATATCAACTAACCAGTGGCAGAAGAGCTCCACAAACCGCTGCCGACAAACAAAATCGAGAAAACGAGACACGACAACAAGACGAGCACAACAACAGAAAAGTGAGGTCCATTGCTTTTTTTCCTGTGGATGATTCCACCCGATAACCCCCTCTTAATTGCCATTTCGTATCATATACCTACAAAATTGCACAGCCAAAACAAATATACTCAAACCATTTCCAACAAGAGAGACGAGTGCAATACGGAGAGAATTTTGATAGATATTCGGCTAATAGAGTTTGAGTAGTTGAAGATCGTAACAAAGCATTTGAAGACTGATGTATATTTATATGCGGACGTATGTATACTTCTCTGTGCGTACTGTACTTCCATATGAAGTGTGTGGGCTTGTGTAAAATGTAGGGAAAGTGCGTAGAAACCTGGATCTGAAAAATTCTCGTGTTATTCATAGTAAATTTCTTTGTCGTGTTAATCATAAAATACTCTGGAAGTCCTCAACCTTCCATAAATATGGCAATTGTGTCCCCAACCTTCTATTTGTAGCAATTACATCACCTGATGAAAATCATCTGTCAAAATAGTCACTATTTTGCAGTGTTTTTAAAAATCAAGCGTCACTCCTTGACAATTAGCTCAAGATTAGATGGTCAACTTGACAGTTGATCGCTCAATGCGCAACTAAGCACACTTATTAATTTTTTTCCACATTTTTTTTAAGTCATTAGTTTCAAGTTTTTAAATAACTTTATCCATACAAAATGACATTAGGTATAAGAAATGCTCAAAATGA